AAATAAAATCTAAAAATAAAAAAAGAAAATGTATGAAAGAAAACATAACAGATACTCATGGCGGATATTGTTTCACAAAATTTTTGTTTCATGTATTTGTGAGAGTACCAGATGGTAAGCCTAAAACGTTTTTTTACTGTGAATCCCTACCAAAGTATTCAAATAACAGTGGCTAGTAGGCTGTAAAGTTCAAATTAAAAGAATATTTTTTTTTGGCCAACATATTAATCAAAGAAGCAGTGACTTTAGCTCCAAAGGAGCTCAAAAGAGCAAAGACTTGTCATTGTTGTCTGTATCTCTCTCACCTACAATTGTGCCGGGCACCTAGGAGACCCCCAGTAAAGGTCACAAAAATAAATGACTGAATGCCTACTTCGTTGAAGACGCTACAAGGGATGCAAACCAAGTAAGATCCAGCTCCTACTGTAACATCTAGAAACTTAAGACTGGGGGATTCTCAGGTGGCTCAGTGGTTCAGCGCCTGCCATTGGCTGAGGGCGTGATCCTGGAGTCCCAGGATCGAGTCCCACGTCAGGCTCCCTGCATGGAGCCTGCTTCTCCCTCTGCCTGTGTCTCTGCCTCTCTTTCTCTGTGTCTGTCATGAATAAATAAATAAAATCTTTAAAAAGGAAAAGAAAAACAGACTTAGACTGGAAAAGAGTTAAGACAAAAATCCAAACAGATAAAACAGGCGCCAGGGGGACTACGTCAAGGAAGTCAGCAGCACGTCCAAATGAGGGCAGATGAGGAGGAGGTCTGTGGAGGAAGTGACCTGAGCGGAGCTCTAAAAGGTGGGACTATCTCGGGAGCTATTGATGGATGTGGGGATGGGTGAGGCAGGAGCTGCTGGACAGCAGTACAGCCCAAGGAGTGTGTGGGGACACCTATCGTGTTCCATTCGAATGAATGACCTGGGAAGCCGTGGTGAAGTCCCCCTCCCCATGCCAAGCAGGGGGGGGTGGGGGGGTGGTGTCTGTGCTAAATTCTTTGGGAAAGCCACCGTGAAACTACTGAAAGGTTCTAAACGGTCCTAAACGGTCCGTGTTGTAGTAGAAAAGTAATGCTGAGGCCTGGGCCTCGGCCTGGTGGGGGGGGGGGTGAGGGGGTTTCTGAGTATGTCTGAGTTTTGGAACATCCTGAGGCTCTAAACACGTGTGACCCTGGACAGACAGCCATTCTCTAGCCCTCAGTTAAGATGACCACAAAGGGGGCACCTGGGTGGTTCAGTGGTTCTCCCTCTGCCCGTGTCTCTGCCTCTCTTCCTAGGTTTCTCGTGAACAAATACATAAAATCTTTAAAGGAAAAAAAAAAAAGATTAGGACAAAGGAGAGCAGTTTGGCACATCACAGAGGACGCACCGAGTCCCCAAGTTCAGCACCTCAGCTTCACTTGTCTCAGCCTCCGCGTTGCCAGGAGTAAGCGAAGCATGGAGAGGTGGGGTCTGCAAGCAGGAGGAAGGAGGCCCCCCGGTGGGATACTCGGTGCTGCAGGACCCCGGCAGGACCCCAGCAGGTGGCCGGGATGCAGAGAAGACCCCGAAGCGGCGGAGGCTGCGTAAGGAGAACGGATGGCTCCGGCCCGGGGCAGCGCCCGGCTGAGTGACCTTGGGCGAGTCCCGTCCCTCCTCCGGGTACCGGCTTCCCGCTCCGGGGCCTGCGGGACCCGCCGGCCCGTCTGCGCGGCCGCCGCCCCCCGGCCCGCAGGCCCCGCCGCCCTCCGCGCCCCTTCCCGGTGGGGGCGGTCTCTCCCCGCGGCGCCCGCCCTGAGGTCACGCGGCCCGCGGGTCGCTGGGCCTCTTACCCGGGCGTGCACTGTGCCCATGGCTCCCTCTCCGGCCGCCGCCTCGCACAGCCACCCGGGCGTGATGACGGCGCGGCTGGCGAGGGCAGAGGGCGGGCCCGCGGTGGCGGAGCTGTCACTCAGCGCAGCACCCGCAAGCCTCTGGACGCGGCGCCCTGGGGGCAGCCATGATGCCCCGCCCCCTGGCTCACGGTGCTCTCGCTCATTGGTCTGTAGGAACCCGTGACCGGATGTCCGCACGGACGCTGCGTGGAGACCGCGCAAGCGCAGAGCGTCCAATGACGCCCGCGCGGCTGCTGGCTCGTGGGGCGCGGGTCTTCCGCTGGGAGCCGGCGGGGGAGAGAGCCGACCCGGATGGGTCCGCCGAGGCTTCATCGGGGGCCGCCCGCCTCCCCGCTGGCGCCCGGGGCCGGCGGGTGCTGTGCGGAGCCCACGCCCCCGCGGAGCGCCGAGGCTCGCCTCCCCCGGCTGCGGGGCCGGCGCAGGTCGCAGAGGCACCTGCTCCCGGCTGCTGGCCGCCCGGGTCCGCCCGGCCGCGGAGGCGCCCGAGGCCCGAGCCCGAGCCCGAGCCCGAGCCGGTAGAGGGGACGTGACGGTCGTTCTGCGTCACGGGACTGTAACAAGGGCCGTGGGACCGCGCCCGGCACGGGCCAGGGCGAGCCGGTGCATCAGAGGCCGCGGCCGCAGCCTGTAAGTACTAGCGCGGGGCGGTCCCGGGACGGGCTGGGGGCTCCACTCTGCTGCGGGAAACACCCCCCCTCCCCCCAGAAGATGACCACGTCGTAAGGAGTCAACACGCGTGGCAGATGCGGGGAGACACCGCCAAGGGACCGAGTGAGGGACGGTCAGCATTGGGCGTCCACTGCCTCCTGCTATCAGGGCTTCGCGTCTCCACCCCCGCTTCTCCCCCGAGGCCCCTTCCCAGACTTCTGACACCGGGGTGCATTTTTTTTTTTTTTTAAGATTTTACTTATTTATTCATGAGAGAGAGAGAGAGGCAGAGACACAGACAGAGGGAGAAGCAGGCTCCGTGCAGGGAGCCCGACGCGGGACTCGATCCTGGGTCTCCAGGGTCACGCCCTGGGCTGAAGGCAGCGTTAAACCGCCGAGCCACCTGGGCTGCCCCCGTTTTGCATTTATTTTTTTTTCCCGTTTTGCATTTAAATAGCACCCAGGCCTCCAGCATCCCTAGGGTCCACGGTACCCTGGTACCCTTCTCGCGTGGGAAGAGAGACGTCAGCACCTGCCGGACCGGTCCTTCCCTCCCTGCACCCCTTGCAGGCTGACCTAGCCATCTGCCTCCCCACTTCCCACCCAACCCCCCTCCACCACCACCACCACCACTACCAGGACCACCACCAGGGGTCTTGCAACCCCCCAGCTCAGACTCAGAAGGCTGTTTTAGAGGAGAAAACTTCTTGACAGAAACCTTCGAAGATAATCTAGGAGCAAATTTTAAGCACAGGTTACCCAAGCTGGACGCTTAGCTCAGAATTCATGCTCCCACTTCCTCCTTCCTGATCCTAAAGTGGGGATGGCAGCAGTTGCTGAGGATTCCATGAGATCAGGCATGGGACCTGGCCCCCTGTAAACACTGCACAAACTAGGCCCTCCCTGCATTTTCTCCTTCATTAGTCTCTTGAGTAAGCCTTGTCTCAAAGATGAGCCATGAAGTTGGCCCGCAGATTTTTTTTTTTAAGATTTTATTTATTTATTTATTCATGAGAGACACAGAGAGAGGCAGAGACACTGGCAGAGGGAGAAGCAGGCTCCACACAGGGAGCCCAACGTGGGACTCGATCAAGACCCTGGGATCACACCCTGAGCCAAAGGCAGATGCTCCACCACTGAGGCGTCCCACTCCACCAGGCATCCCGGCCCACAGATTTAACAAGAGTCCGGAGTCAAATATTTGAGAGTCTGTTGGGTACAAGGCACTGGTGACAAGGTGACAGAAGACACATCAGAAACACAGTCCCAGCTTCATCCTCAAGTACCATCTCTGACAGTCACAATGCATACTCACGTATTAAAGGCTCTGAGAAGTTCTGCAGTACCTGTACCTGTTTCACTTTCCTGAACCCAGGATTTCCAAAATTAATTGGATCCTGGAGACTTTTGGGTTTGGGTTCTTGAGGCTCTTTGGCCCTCAGTGGTGTTCATTGGTAATTCTGGTGCTCCCCTTTTGAGCAAAAGGTACAGTTGTATTTCCCTGCCCGCATCTGCATGACTTGCTTTGGTCAACAGGTTGTAGGCAGAAGGGATAGGTATGTGTGGATGACAACCTTAGAACACCCTACACCCCCCCCCATTACTGTGATCAGTGACCCTCCAGATGAGGGGACAGGTTCAGGCTGGGCCAGCCAAGTGTGATGAGTCTGTAGTATGAGAAGTAAACCTGGGGAGTCTTTGTTAAATGCAGCATAGCCCAGCCTGCCCTAACTGATAGAATCACCTAGTGATACCTGCAAGGATGCCAGCTTTTGAGAAAAGTTGGCCTTACACAGTATCAATCTGGCCCCATCAGTAGTAGAAATGCAGTTCAGTGACCACCCTGGTTCCCTTAAAATCACACCTGTCTCAGAAGTCTTAGGGAAGGAACGCTGATCTTCCCACAGATGCCCTTGGGGTCACTCACCTCTCCGTGTAGCATAGGCTCCAGGGAGTGGGCTGGGGACAAGAGGCCTTAAGTGGAGGTGGACTCGTCAGGATTGGGACCAGCTGGAGGGGGCGGGGTCAGCCAGGGAAGAGGTGCTCAGGGGTCTGGCTCCTTGGACTTGGAAGTTGACAGATACAGGGCAGCTCTGCACTGGAGGGGTTATGTTGAGGTGCTCGGTAATGCCAAGGAATAGCCAGATGGAGGTGGCCAGGTGGGCTCGCCCCTCACCTGAGCTAGAGACTGGGGCTCCTTGGAATGAACTCTTTCCCACCCCCACCCCCCGGAACAACTGTGAACTCTGAGCACAGCAGGCAAGGGGACGAGCCCAGCACTCAGGACAGCGTGGGGTCGCAGAGGAAGGAGAGGGACTCTAGGAGGAGGGGTTGCTGATCCAGTGTCCAGGACAGAGCATGTGGAGACCACCTGGCTGGAAGGGCCGGCCATAAACCGGGGGGGGGGGGGGGTGTCATTTGAAGGAACTTGTCTGTGAGGGACAGGAAAGAAAGGGGGGCTCCTGAGAGAGGACCCAGAAACAAGAGAAAACGTTTTCAAAGTCACATTTATTATGAGTTATTTTCCAATGAAAGTAATAAATATTTACCATAGAAATTTGAAAACCACATACCAGCACAACAAATGAACTGTAATTATGGGTGATGGGATGATAACAACCACTGTCAGTACTGGGATGTGTACGTTCTCTGCCTTTCCTCTGTGCACAATACACACCCACAAATTATTTATTTATTTATTTATTTATTTATTTATTTATTTATTTATTTATTTATTTATTTACAGGACGAGGCTCACGCTCAGCACCAAGTTTTGTTATCTGTTCACCAAGTAAAGGCTGTTGCTCCCTGGTCATTACCTAGACTACACAGTTATTATTCCTGACAGTGGAGTGTATTCCAGAGCATAAACGTGCCATATAAAGAAGAAGAGGTTTGTTCGATAAGGTAGTAGGAACCTAAGAATGTTCCGACGTGCCGATCAGATACCTCAGCCGTGCTGGAGAGGTATGGGGTGGGGGTGGGATGGTATTAAGGCACAGGTGGTGGGTGGGGCCTTGGCCATTTCTGAAAGAACACTTCTTTGTCTTAGCACACATTTTTCAAAAAGTATAAAACACATGCTCATTGTGAGAAGGTGGAACCAGTTCAAAAAGTAGTAAAAAAAAAAAAAAAAAAAGAAAAGAAAAAAAGCAGTTGCATGTAATCCCATGAGCTGTTAAAATAATTCCTTCTTGGGATCCCTGGGTGGCTCAGCAGTTTAGTGCCTGCCTTCGGCCCAGAGTGTGATTCTGGAGTCCTGGGATCGAGTTCCGCGTCAGGCTCCCTGCATGGAGCCTGCCTGTGTCTCTGTCTCTCTCTCTCTCTCTGTCTCTCATGAATGAATGAATAAAATCTTTAAAAATAATAATAATAATAATTCCTTCTTTCTACTAGTCGCAGAACTAGCATGTGTATACAGTTTACAGAAAGGTGGCAGTTATTGTCAAATACTGGTGAAGCATGCTCGGATCTGCTGCAGCCCATGCTGCACATCCAATGGAAGACAGGTGATCAGGGGAACTCGAGAATCAGGGGCTCAGGGGCAGGTGTGAGGGAAGGCTCTGAGGAGCCCGGGGGCGTGGGTGGGGTGTCAGGCCTGGCCTCCCCCACCCCTAGGCCAGCTCAGCAAGGACCAGTGCCTTGTTCTGGGTCTTTAAGCAGCTGAGAGAGCCTACCTCTCGCCAGCTCTTGTCTCCCTTAGGAGGCGAGCGCTACCAGAACAGGAGCCTCGTCAGTACTCCCATCCCAGAGACACAAGGACCCTGCGAGGAGCCACAAAGAGGGGGGCTCTGTGCCCTGGGCAGTGGCCCCGTATGTTCACAAGGAGCCTGCCTCTAGGAGCCCACAATCTCATGGCAGCTCAAGGGAAGGAGCTCACGTAGAGGCTGCCCCTAGAACCACATTCTTTTTTCGAGGACACGTCTTTATAACAAAGTGCTTTGTCTGAACTTTCTGGTTCTTCAACTCCCAACGTCCTTGCACAGTGTAGGTGAGAGCTACAGCTTCCTGTGCCAACGTGGAGGATTTTGTGCTTATCGCTGTTTCTTTCTTGCTACGCGCAAATGCATGATTATATTTCACCTGGAGTCACATTACTCTGTGCTTGCCAACAAATCACACCTAGGGAGAAGGTAGGTCCCCGTCTCTTGCCTATCTCCGTTAAGGCTCTGGGAGTTCAAAAGTGGGCAGGGGATGTTGAGAAAAAAGATGCGCAGGACCCAAGCCCTTCTGTTGTTCTGGGCAACTGCCTGGGATCCTGGGATGCCAGCCTGTGCACTGGATTTTTTTTTAATAAGGCTTATTAACACCTTCCTGATTCACATGACATAAAATGCAACAAACAATAAGATTCCTTTATATTCTATACAAAACTCTATCAAATATTTAAGCTAGGTCAGAAAAGTGTTCCCAAATAAGTTAGCATGGGTTAGTTTTAACGACCCATGACCCTCAGTGGCCCCCCCTTGGACAAGGCTGCCACCTGCCCCGGCTACACTGACTATTTCCCATGTGGGGAAATGGGATCACATTACTCTTCCTTCCAAACCCCAACACTGCACGGAGGGCAGCCCACCCGCCGGCCACAAGCCCCCCCCACACACACACACCCCTGATCCCTCACAACACCTGCTATTCTAGAAACTTCGTGCCCAGAGAACTACAGGACGACTGGCCATGCCCCTCCACGCTGGCCTTCCTACTGCCACTTCCCAGCCAACTAAGCTAACATACCCAGAAGCTTAACTATTAAACTTCCTTATGCTCCAGACCACCACATACACCAAAAGTAGCTTCCTAGCTTTTCGTAAAAATAACAGATTGCCCTTTGGTTTCAGTGAACTATAAACTGAGCCAGAGGCAGAACAGTAGGACATTAAGTGCCAACACAGACGCGCCTGCAGAAAGATCAGAAAGCACCTCTGAAAGAATGTCCCAGACTCGTCTCCTCAAATGACTCCGAAACGCTTCTGCACCAGAGGATTACGGGGAAGGAGGAGTCCCTCCCAACTCCAACCTGGAAAAGCCAGGCCAGGCAGGAGGATGGGCTTGCCCAGCCGCCTCAGCTCCGGCACCTACTGGACAGCCAGGAGGGTAGCAGTGCCTTCATGTTCTTCAGGGAAGGCTGCGGGCTGCTTGCCGGTGTCTGGGATCTGAAACAAAAGGAATACTGACTCAGCCGCTGTCCTGCTGCCCTGAGGTCTTCCATCTCAGCAAGGATGGATGGACACCACCAGCCCACCCTGAGTGCGCCATCATGCACACTCCGTGCACTGCACGGTGGTGGTGTCTAAAGCCACAGCGTCCTCCCTCCTTCTGGGCATCCAGAGGGTCCCCATCCTGGGTTCTAAGCTGGTAGCCCTCCAGCCCCCCGGGCCCCTCCCACTTGGCATCCCAGTGGAGCCCATCAGTTTCCTTCACATAGACCAGCTTGCCCACCAGCCTGCACCACCATCCCCAGGCTTCCTCCTTCTGACCAGCTGCCCTGCTTCCCCAGAATCCAGGCAGACCCCAGGTCTTGCACCTGGCACCTCCTTCTGGCCCTAGAGCCTATGAACACTTCAGGCCCACAGGTTCTAGTGAGGCTGGCCCTCCTCATCCCTGCCTGGACCAGTACAGCTGCCCTCTGGCTGGTGAACCTGCTGCCCTAGGGCCCAGTGATGAGACCTCCTTCCCGTGGCCACTACAGTCATTGCCCAGTGGAAACCAGACCCTTCCACTCCCCTACTTTACAGCTCTTTGTGTCTGCCAATAGCACTGAGATCTCCTCTCCTGAGTGCTCACCATGTCTCCAGTACCATGCCAGGGGCTCCCAAAAGCCTGACCGAGATCCAGGGAAGAAATGAAGGTCACCCACAGGGAACACATAAGACCACCAAGGCTCACGATTCCCAGGACTAGACCCAACCCTTGTAGCTGGAACAAGGCCTTTCTTGCTCTGAATCCGTTTTCAGAACTCAGAAGTAGCAGCGTCCCTGAGGCCATGTTAGCAACCAAGGATGCTGGGTTCCACCCCCAGGGCTCCCCCAAGACTGATTGAGCAAGTCTGAGCCCCGATGAGAATCTGCATAAATAGGCACCCCCAGCCCACCGATGAAAGGTCCCCACCAGACCCACACACCCACGGCCAGGCCAGATCACTGACCTGGACATGGAGAACAGCTGTGTCATCACCCGAGAACACATACTCAAGGTGAGCCACTGCAGCCACCGGATATCCTCAGACCTATCTGGAAACCATGTCACCAGTCTGCAGGAATAAGAAAAAGAGACACACAGGTTATCAGCGTGAAAACAAGCCAACACACACACACACACAAACTAAAGAAAAAGCAGGCATCTGACATCCATGCCCTTTGTCCAGGTAAACCGCCAGAGTCCCATCTAATCCTAATCTGATCAATCCCAGGAGGTGGATCGGGCGCATTATACCAAAGACAAACCTACCTAAAAGCCCTAAAGCAGTTAGGTCACGGGGCTGCGGGAAGCTCCAGGGATATGCGTGGAAATAAGAGGGGAAGGGCTTGGGCTTAGTTTTCCAGGCTTCTCCATGTGGCAAGGTGCCCACTGAAGCCGGTGCAGAGAATCTGGGAGTCAAGGTAGCACGTCCCCGCCACCCCAGCCCTGCATACTCCCCCACACCACACACGAGGCCCCCCGTGGCGAGCCCTGTAAATGCCTGACCAGACCTCTCCCTGGGGCAGGGATGTCTGGGAGTAGGTGATCAATTTGGTAGAGGGGAGGGGATCTGGACAGGAGAACCGAGCCGGATTCTGAGGGATGGCTTGGCCTCTAAAAGACGGACCAAAGGCCATGCTGATCCACTCACTAAAAAGACTGTAAACGCCACCGTAAATTTAAAGGAAGTAGAGGTTAAACAAATAGCCAGGATCCAAGCGGTGCCTCACGTCCTCCCGGCGTGCTGCGAATAAACTCCCAGGCTGGAAGTGTAAACCTCCAAGAAGCGGCAAGAAGTGACAGCGTGGAGAAGAGAGGCTGAGAAGGGTCTCCAGGGGGCACTGTCGTGCCCCACAAGGAGCCAGGCCACAGGTTAAGGCCCTCACGTGGGTTCCCTCCACCTCCAGCCAACGACGCGGGAGGAAAGCGCAAAAGCCACGTAAAATGCCCACCTCTGGACCATGGCGATAGCAGACTCCACGGGCAGCGTACAGGGCAGCATCATATAGGACACGACCTTAACTGGTAGGAAGTTGTAAATCTTGCTCATGTATCCACGTTGGATTTTAATTGCTTTACTCAGATCTGAAAAATACAATTTGGAGGTGTCTGTCTCCCAGCGGTGTAAGAGCCAAACCACCTGGCCCAGGTGGTGCTTGGAATTTCTATGAAATACTCAGATCCTGGCATCCGGAGAATCCGAAGCACTCCCCAAGGAGGTCCCATGAGTATGCCCGGGACAGGCTTTGGACAGCCCCCAGCATACAGGCTCCTCAGTGCACAGCTCGCTCTCTCTTTTTAAAATCTATTTTTCATTTTCATTTAAATTCAACAAATTAACATATAATGTATTACTGATTTCAGCGGTAGACGTCAGTGAGGCATCGATCTTATATGACACCCAGTGCTCATTCCACCACGTGCGCCCTAATGCCTGACACCCAGTTACCCCGTCCCCTCACCCCCCTCCCCTCCAGCGACCCTGAGTTTGTTTCCTATGATTAAGAGTCTCTTATGATTTGTCTCCCTCTCTGATTTCATCTTGTTTTATTTTTTCTTCTCTTGAACGACTCTCTTTCCAAGAACTATCTTTGGAGAGCTACACAAACTTCTCAAAATACCCCATCGACTTCGGAGCTTTTCCCTGAACCTTCAGCTGGACCCTGTTTCCTTCTGCCCAGAACCCTCTGGCCTGTTAGCTCCCTTTTGTAATGACCTCCTGACACCTCAGATCACATTAGCCCCAACAGCTGCCGGTTCATGCCCTGGTGCATGGGATGATGTCCTGCTACCCTCTGAATTCCTCCAAATGACCGACTGGAAGCTGGTTTGTACACTCCCATCCACCTAATAGTTGGTCACGTAATCAAGCACATCCCCACTCCATGGAGATTCAAAATTGCAGGTTTGGAGGCAGGGAGAAATCAGGGAAAGGGGGCTCCCCAAGAAAGAAGGCTTAGGGATGGGTGGACAGGCAGAGAGGGTTCTGGAAGAACGGGCCCACCCCTGTGGCCCCCTGCAATCCTGTGTGCCCAGTTCACTTAAAACAGGCTCAGCTGGAGTCTGCTCTCCTCTGGCCGTGACCCCTTGGGAAAGGAGATGGAGCAAGGGTCTGTGCCAGGAGCAGGGCCCCAGCAGGCCCCGTCTCCCACATGCAGGATTACCTTCCTCCACAACCCAGAGAATAAAGCCCCTTCAGTCTCTCTCTCTCTCTCTCTCTCTCTGTCACAGGAAACCACATCCTCAGCCTCCCGCGTCCCTGGGGAGTCAGCACCTCCAAGGAGCTTAGGCGACAGGGTCTCCAGGATGCCCTCATTCCAGGGCAGGATGCTGAGGCGCAGGTGGTCCAGCAGCTCATCTGGCTCGGGCTTCGTCCCGCCGGCAGCCACCCTCGGAGGAGCTTCTGGGCTCCCGGGTTCCCAGGCCACTTTAAGATTCTTCATCTCGTCCGAGGATAGATTCAGGCACGGCTGGAGCCTGTTGCAGATCCCTGCCAAGGACACGGGAAACCAGCCACCAGGTCAGTGTGGGCAGCAGGGGGCACGACGCACGCACCCACCCAGGAACGACAGGGGCACGGGCAACCGCTGGGGAAGCCACAGGCCTGTGGGCGAAGTAGGAGGCAGGCATCCATGAGGCCGGGTGTTCAGGCTTTTGAAACAGAAGGAGGTGTGGGGCTTTGAAGCCAAAGAGAGATGGGAGTTTGGCTCGGGCTCCACCCCTCCCTATCTGTCTGGGCTCCACGGCCACATGGGGATTCGTGCAGGTGAAAGATAAGAATTATAATGGATTTATAATAACTAAAGCACTGGTTAAGCCCATGTTCCAGGCCGCTTCGTCACTTCAGCTGAGAAATCAGAGGCACAGAATAGGTTAGGAGATTCACCCAAAGCCACATAGCCAGGAAGCGGAAGAGTGGGATTCGAACCCAGGTCCAACATTACAGAGGACACCCTTTCGCTGTGTGGCATTGGAAGCAGCACTAGGTGTGGGAGTTTGTGCAGACCCTGCCTTAGATGCTGGGGCTCAGTATCTAATCCCAGTCAGTGGCTCCTGCTCTCGTAGAATTGGCACGCTGGGTTGGGCAGGGGGTGGCTCCCTCGGGCTCCCAACCTCTGAGTAAAATGACCAAGGGCTGGGGGTGCCTGGGTGGCTCAGCAGTTGAGCATCTGCCTTCGGCTCAGGGTGTGATCCCGGGATCCAGGATCGAGTCCCCCATGGGTTCCCCACAGGGAGCCTGCTTCTCTCTCTGCCTGTGTCGCTGCCTCTCTCTGTGTGTCTCTCATGAATAAATAAAACCTTAAAAAAAAAATAGAAACCGACTTCTAGCATTGAAGACAAGCAGTTCCAAATACATCTAATATTGCAAGGGCCCAAGTCCCACTGCCCAGACCAGCCAGATGACTCCCAAGGCAGGAACCTGCCCCAGAAAGGACAGCTGGGCTCACAGGTGTGACCTGCACCTGGTTGGAGGCAAGTATTCTGATTGCTCCACCTGGGGCCCGGGGGCAGAAACCCTGCTTAACTTCTTCTGTTTATCTAAATGTTCAAAACAGTTCACACAGGAAAAAAGAAAACAAAACACAACGGACAGAACTGCCTTGACAGGCAGGTGGCCCTGCAGGAGAGGGTTCCTGTGTCCCCGAGTCCCGCCCCAGCTCCAGCCCTCAGCAGCATGGGGGCCCTGGCTCACCTCCGCCTCCCCGCCTCCCCGCCTCCCCGGCTATGAAATGGGACAAAGACTTCCTATCTCACAGGGCCAATGAGTCGGCTGAGAAGAGGCTAAGGGAAGACACTGGGCATGGAGTTTCTAACATCAACCTCCAGTTACTGATGCTAATGAAAAGCTTGTTAAAAGGACACATCTGGGGGCACCCGGGTGGCTCAGTGGTTGAGCGTCTGCCTTCGGCTCAGAGTGTGATCCCGGAGTCCCGGGATTGAGTCCTGCATCGGGTTCCTGGCATGGGTCCTGCTTCTCCCTCTGCCTGTGTCTCTGCCTCTCTCTCTGTGTCTCTCATGAATAAATAAATAAAATCTTAAAAAAAAAAAAAAAGGCCACGTCTGCCCCCACCTTACCCATACATACCGTTCTCTTCCAAGAACCTGAAGGCATCTAAGTACCCTCGAAGGCAAATCTCTCCAAGCACCTGGCGACAAATCAAGTAAGGGTGACTGCAATGGGAGCCATTCTGAGGCAACAGAGAACCCTCCCCGCTGAGCTGCTCCCCCGGCCCCGCACAGCCACAGCGAGGCTGGACACAGGGCTCCACTTTCACACAGGACTAGGCTCCAATGACATCCCCTCCACGGAGCCTCTGCTGGCAGCCCAGGCACGCCAGGCACTGCTGTCTCTGGGCTCCCTTGGTCCCTGAAGGAGCCTCCACCCTAACAAATGAAAGAGCCTGTTCCCGTTGTCCCGAGACAATTAGGAGTGGCTCCTCTACTCGTCTGTACACACACCACACATGCAAACCAATTTACAGCCTCCGCCCCCTCTCCTGGAGCACATGCTCCTGGGGTACAGTGTACACAACGCCTTCTTTCTCCCCGGAGAACCCTGAGTGTACACAGTTGACACATTTTCTTTATATCAGGGAGATAAGACCTCCTACAACAACACTCAAAAAAGATTAAACCACCAAATGCAGTGTGGTTCTTGACCATGCTTGCAAATAAGAATCATCAGGATAACGCAAAAAAAAAAAAAAAAATCCCACCATCCAGGCTACACCCCAACTACTTGAATCCTAGCCTCCTGGATGTGGGGTGTGGGGTCTGAGCTGCAGGGCTGTTTAAATCTTCCCAGGTGATTCCAGTGGTCAGAGTGGGGCAGCACTGAGCTTCCAGAGCCAGAAACTCTTCCTGTTCAGTGAGTTCCTGTTCAGTGAGGGGGATCTGCTTCTGTTTGTGGAAAGAACTGGCAAACAGGGAAGCAAAGAGCTGTGCCCTCGAACACACAGCCCCCAACTCACCTTGAGATCTGGAGGGAAAAGCGCTCGCATGAGTAGGTAGGCATTCTCTGAGCAGAGGCGCAGATTGAGCTTGGTTAAGTCCACCTGAAGAAAGTTCGTGGACTTGACTTTAGGGCAGATGTCATACTCTCCATAGAAGGGGGACACAGTGATGGTCGTTTTGGCATCAAAGAAGGGGACATTGTCACTTGCTCCTCCGTCCATGTATCGCTTTCACAGGAAGGGAAAAAAGGACATCGTGTTACAAGCTCTGGGCTGTCTTTTGTGGGGTTTTTGTTTGTTTTTTAAGATCAGGGGTACAGGCTTCTCAGAGACACAGGCTGATACTGCGGGAAGACAAGACTCTGGAACCACTGTTTCAACCAATCCTTACTGAGCATTTCTCTGCCAGCCCAGGCTCTGGGCAGGCACTCAGTTTGCTATATACTGTTGTGGAGTTTGTGCACCGCACAAAAGGTGCCTAGTCAAGAGGCAGACAGAGGTGAAGCCCAGCCTGTGTTGTGGTGGCCAAGTCTGAAGCCCAGGTGTGGCTTCACCTACAGGTGTGCCTGGGTAATCTGCCTGAAGGGGGCCGTATGGAGCAGGGGCTCTGTGTGCAATGGGGACAGAGTCCCCTAAAAGAGGCAGAAGGTTCAATTCCAGACCCCACCCCTTTGCTGCTTGGAAATCAGAACCAGCACCTTGAAGAGCTTTGGAGACTTAAATGGCAGTGAACCTGGGGCCAAGGCAGCCCTTGGAAAACACCTTCTGAATCCACAACCTGATAACATTTGGGATCAGCTATGGTGAGCATGTTTTCCTGCATCCGTGTGCTTTGACACCCTTAGGCTGGCCCAGGCAGGCTAGGGTAGGACTTGGACCAAGTCTGCACCGATCAAAGCAATGTCTGGAATGATCCCCAAATCTGAGGCCGCCCCAGCCCAGCCGCTGGCACCCACAGACAAAGGCCTTCAAATAGCACAGCTGGTCCTTCCTGGGACCTAAAACGAGTCCAGAGGATAAGCACCCACGCTCAGCCACGCCTTCGCCATCCAGAGATTCTTGCCTCGAATCCACAAAAATGGTCGGGGGTGCACAAAGCGGTATTTTCAAAATGGGAGCCCCACAACTTCCATGGAGGACGTAGGAAAGCCTCATGGGCAGGTTGGGACAAGGAAGCGAAGGTCTGGAACCTTAGGGAACCCTAAAGGAGGGCGGAAGCAGGCTGCCAGTTTCTCAGAGGGAATCCTCGGGTCCGATGCGCCCCATCACATGGACCTTTCCCTTCCCCTCTGAACTCTCCTATAGTAAGGCTCTGAGTTGGGGATCCCTGGGTGGCTCAGCGGTTTAGCACCTGCCTTCGGCCAGGGGTGTGATCCTGGAGTCCGGGGATCGAGTCCCACGTCGGGCTCCCTGCATGGAGCCTGCTTCTCCCTCTGCCTGTGTCTCTGCCTCTCTCTCTGTCTCTGCGTGTGTCTCTCATGAATAAATAAATAAATCTTAAAAAAAAAGAAGAGCTCTGAGTCTGCTCAGTGGAATCCCAAGTAGCTCTTCTGGTTTTCTGTGGGTTTCTCTGGAGTGTGCTGCATGCACCACCCGCACCCCGAGGGCTGGGCAGTCCCGGCCAAGTGGCAAGACGGTAGCAACTCTGTGGGTGGTGAAACAGCCCCCCTTCCTGCAGGCTCACCCACGCCAGCCTCTGTGCTGAGCACCTCACGGCCCTTGCTCGCGTGATCTTCACAACACCTCTGTGCCACCGCACTGTGCTTAACACTCGTTTTGCAAACCGATCTCAGAGGGGTTACGGAATGTGTCCAAAGCGGTCCGGCTACCAGGTGCCAGAGGAGGGATTCAGTCCAGGTCGGTCTGCCAAGCAGGGGCCGTGGCCATCTCGGGTGACCCCTGCACCGCTCCAGGCCTGTTTTCTCATCCAGAAGCGGGGACCACGTGTCTGTCATGGGGCTGCTCCAGGGCGCGAGTGAGGCTAGATGGGACATGCCTCTGCCTCCGCTCTGCAGCCTGCGGAAGCTCTGCTCTGGGACACTGGGATGTCGTGTGTTCTCTCTCAAGGCGAGATTTCTTAGCTTGACACCACTGACATTTAGAGACCGGTGATTCTTTGTTGAGAGGGCTGGCCCCATGCACCGAAGGATGTCAGCAGCACTTCCCCAGTTGTGGCAACCCTGTCTCTAGACCTTGTCCAGGGGGCGGGGAAGAATCAGCCCCGGGTGGGACGCCTTCGGGGCTCAGTGGTTGAGCGGCTGCCTTTGGCTCAGGGTCCTGGGATCAAGTTTCCTATTGGGGTCCCCTCAGGGAGCCTGCTTCTCCCTCTGCCTCTGTCTCTGCCTCTCTCTGTGTCTCTCATGAATAAATAAATAAAATCTTTAAAAAAAGAAGAATCACCCTGGGTAGATCACCCTGGCCCTAGAAGGAAGCTCCAATGGCCTGGCATCACCCAGCACCTGGTCCAAAGCCTGCAGAATAGACACTTTGCCTCGTGTTTCTCCATCCCAGGCAGGGTTCAGCAGTCGGCCAAAAACACATCATTTGTGGAATGGAACCAAATCGAAGCCAGATCAGCAGCTTCTGACAAGGCCATGGGCTGCAAAGGGCAAAGTCAGACCCAGAGTGGGCTGCACTCTCGCATCCCCTGAGAATAAAGCTCTATCTTAAGCAAGTCACAGACTCATAAGCATCTCCGACTTTAACCAGGCCAGCTGGGCCTCTCTCGGGTGCTCAGGTGAAGATTAAGCGAATCAGCTTACCTTCCAGATAGCGAGGTAATTAATTCTACATGAAGCTGGTTGTGCTGCCAGGGCAGCCTAGAAGGGGGCTAGCTGGGGAACCTCTGTGGAAAGGCATTTGGGGACGTGCCCCAGGGTGCCAGCAGGCAGGAGCTGCGCAGACAGTTTAAAAGCAGACTCACCACGCCTCTGAAGGAAGGAGGGATTATGCCACTGAAGAAAGGGATGAAGCTGGAACAGAGCAAGGCCTGCAAGACAAAAAGAAGTGAAACCATGGGCCCCAACAGCCTGCCTTCTGCTCCCCTGGGGGCCCGCATAAGCCTTCTCCAGATAAACAGAGCAATGGGCTGAAATGCTCTTTGCAAAGGGTGCGCTTTTATAAACGAGCTGAACAAATGACAAAGCAACCTACACACTTCTATTTCAGGCTTAAGTAGAAGCTCCTAATGACACTGTCTGTGGACATCAACTTCCGGTCCCTCTCCCCACGACAGCTGCACTGGGCGCTGGCTGACTGGGAAAACACCAGACCAGGGCTCTGCAAAGGCTGACCTTCATTAGAATCACCTGGAAAGCCTGTGGACCACAGACTCCATGGCCCACCCCAGGACTCTGATGCAGCAGGCTGGAGGTGCCTGAGAGCCCGGAGGCAGGGCAAGTGTCCAGGTCCAGCTGATGCTGGGGGTCCCGGCAGCACAGTGAGAAGTACCGAGCTGGGGGGCTGGTGGTGAGGGAGGGGGCAGGAAGCAGGACTGGCCTACTGAGAAAACCCTCCCCTGCAGGAATGGACCAGAACTGGCTATCTAGAAAAAGCTTTTGGAAACAAGGTCAGATAGAGAGGTTGACCCCGGCTGCTGAGATGCTACTGGTTATTCGTGCCAGGAATATACATCGTGGGAGGAGGGACACACATGGGACAGGGTCTCTGGAGGAGGGGGTCATGAGCCAAGTCTTGAAAGATGGGAAAGTAGTAGTATCTGAAACTGACACCTATACGCTGTAGACCACCGACCGTCGGATGCACACAGAGCTCACGTCACTGTGGTGCAGGAAGCGAACCTGGGAAACCAGGGTCTTTTGCATCTTAAGACACAAGGCAGGTGGCCTACGGCAGCCCTCTCTGTGTTACTTCCAAGACGAAATAGCGTTTATTTGGCAATGCCCAGATAAGCAGACTGCTTACATCCACAACTTCCTCTTTGGACTGAAACTCAGACACCAGCACGTTTTCCCCATCGGACACTCTGGTGAGCGATATGCATGTTTTGCCAGAGATGAGCATGTGGACGTTGTCTGGGAGATGTCTCTGAAGGTTTTCTTGGAGGTTCCTGCCCAAGCTGAAGGAGGGGTGGAGGATGCCGATGTTCCGGCTCCTGGCCTTCTGGGTTATATCCATGAGGACCTGTATGATGATCTCTGGGGGGCAAGAGACAGACATACAAAGAACTGTGCCACCCTGGAGATGGCAGCGCTCTGTGGCAAGACCAGATACCAGGTGGCAAGGAGGCGGCCAACCTTCTTCCAAGCCTGCACTAATACAGCAGCCACGTGCAGCCATGGAGCCCTTTTGAGTGTGGACACTCCAATCTGAGGTGTGTAGATGACACACCAGAATTCAAAGGCTTCATACAAATAAAATAAAATATCTTATTAATGTTTTATAGATTAGACGTGAAAAATGATAATATTCTGGCCATATTGGGATACATGAAATCAAATTCACTGTGTCTTTCACTTTTTTCAGTGGGAAATATTAAATGTCATGGCTACACGGTATTGCTCCCCAACAGCGCCGCTCTAGGTCCCCCCACAGGAACGAGCCTCCCGAGGCCCAGGAGAACCCTCTGTCTCCTCCATCCCCCAGGGCCAGAGGCAGAAACTCCTCATAATCAGAGCTTTAGCACAAAGGACCTAACACCATAGAAAGCAGAGGATCGGTGCAGGCTGGGCTCAAGGGTGAGTCCCGCCTCCACCCCTTGCTAGCCAGTCGACCTCAGAAAGCCACTTCACTGCCCCTCGACCTCTCAGACTGTGCATTTTTAACTTTGGGGTTGGAGGGGATTAGATACACTACCATCTGTAAGGTACTCAACTCGGAGGAGGCTCCTAATAAAGAACCAGACTCACCCTTAAGCCTCTGACACCAGAACAACCGCGGTCTAATGGGCACGGGCCACATCCGTGCTCCGTGAGGCCTCACTCACTGGCCCGGACCCCTGTGCTTGTTCTGCACTGCCCAGACATGCAGGACCATCGGTCCCAGCCTGAGACCTAGCCCGTCACGAATCCTGAGATGCAGAAGAGGGACATAAGCCAGCCTGTCCTGGCCCACCTCTGACCTCAACCTAACTCTCCCTACGTGTGTGGCCCCACCGAGCCCAGGCAGAAGAGGGCAAAGTTGCACACAGCTGGAACGTTCCATCAGCCTCTTGTGCAGAGTACTTGGCTTAGAAGCACTCACAGGAACCCTTTCCAAGGTGCAGCCCTAGCGGCTGCTCCTCGGTGGTCCCCAAATGAGACAGGAGTTGAAATCAGGGCTCCTGGAATTTGGGAAGCAGCTCCTGCCCAAACTTCCAGACCCTACTTTCCGAGGACCTGGTGGCTCCCGAGTCTCCCCATGTCCTACAGGGTACAGACCCAGGCTGCACCTGTCCCCTGCCAGTTAGGAACCTCCTCTGTACTGGAGTCAGTGCAGGTTACCTTGACATACAAGAGCTGTCTTTTATCCCTCCCAAAGCCCGGAGCAGGCGGACGGGCCATGTGGCCAGTCTAATCCTCCCTAAGGCCACATCTTCTGCCCTTTGCCCCCTTCCTGTCCATGAAGAAGCCAGCCAGGGCCTATCTCCTAATCCCCACCTCCCAGTCAGCCCAGGGTCTGCTCACTGATCGTATCCAATTGCAAGGCTGCACCTACTGGCAGGGGATTTCTGGCCACCAGGAAGAAAGTCATTCCCTGCTGGTGGAGTCCAAGCTGCCAGTCCCCAGTTAGAGCAAAGGGTAAATCGCTAAGGAAGCCAAACAGCGGTTGATGAGGTGCACTGTTCCTGCCTGGGGACCTTTGGGTGCCAACAGCTCCTGTGGCTACTTGTCCCACATCCAGCTCCCTGGACCGGAACCCCAGGGCACACCCAAGTTTGGGCCAGCTGGGCACAGACCCCACATCTTCCCCTCCCAGTGCCACCCACATAGACAGATGTTTAATTAGCACAGGATTTCAAAAGCACAGGAAGGACCTCCTTTCCAGGGGCACTGAACAGGGTGGGGGTGGGTGGAAGGATGGTGTAGGGCATATCCAGGGATCCACCCCAGCCCCTAGGAAGGGTCTAGTGCCCCCCATGCCCCTACACACACACACACACACACACACACACACACAAAATCCCCCCTCAAGCCCACCCCCCTCCATGTCGCCTAAGACTCCAAACCAGTAAGACTGCCCAGGAGGACTCAGAAGAGTTGCTCTCTACCTGAAAGGCGGTCCAGCCCCCCCGAGAAGGGGGGAAAGGGGTGTCTCCAATCCCCCAGACGCCAGAGGGGAAAAGGCGCCTGCCCAGGGACACAAGACAATGCCCTCCAGGTCAGATGCCCCCCACGCCCCACCCCCGGGGGGCAAGTCGCCCAGCGCCTCCCGAGCTGATGGCGGGGCCGGCGGGGACCAGCTCCATCCACGGTCCTGCTCCCTCCTGCCCGCTCGGGGTTGCCCCTCCAGGCGCCCCCCCCCCCCCCCCGGGCTGGCGACAGAGAACCCCCGGCGCCGGGCGAGAGGACGCAGCGCAGGGAGCATCTGCCCGGGGAGGGTCCCCGACACGCACCCCGCGAGGTGCGGTCCCATCGCAGCGCCGCCCCCGCCCCCCGAGCCCCGCCGCGGCCCGGGTCCCCGGGTCGTACCCAGCGGGATCCCGGAGAGCATGGTGACGCAGTGCAGCGCCCCGGCCGAGGAGCCGAACAGCATGCGCGCGTCGTGCACCAGGTGCGGGGCGCGCTCGCTCAGGCAGCGGGTCACCCCAACGTGGTAGAAGCCCAGGAAGCCGCAGCCCGAGAAGGACAGGCTCCAGCCGCGCTCGGGGTCGTACATCGCGGCGGCGCGGCGGGGGCCTCGGCGGGGCTCGCGGGGGCTCGGCCGCGCTCGGCCGCGCGCAGGGCTGCGGCGTGGGGCCCGGCGTGGAGCCCGGCGTGGGGCCCGGCGTGGGGCCCGGCGTGGGGCCCGGCGTGGAGCCCGGTGTGCACGCCGCCCCGCACCGCTCGGCACCGCGGCGCGCTCTCCCGCCCGGCCTCCGCCCGGGGTTCAGGCTTTCTCTGCGTGACGTCAGCCGGCGGCCCCGCCCCCTCGGGCCTGCACCCGAGCCGCGGGCCGCTCCCCGGGGGCGGGGCGGGGGCGGGGCCTGCGGCGGGGTCCGAGGAGAGCGGAGGACCTTGCCCCCAGGCGGGATAGACCAAACCTCCAGACCCTGGTGGTGGATGTCCTAGAGGCAGCTCCCGTTCTGTTCCTTGCCAGCTCTTAAGTCTGGGAGAAAGTGGAGCTGGCCCTCTTAGGTCCTTTTCTAATTTTTTTTAAAGATTTTATTTATTCATGAGACACGCAGAGAGAGGCAGAGACACGGGCAGAGGAAGAGACACAGGGCCTGATGCAAGACTCGATTCCAGGACCCGGGGATCACGCCCTGGGCGGAAGGCAAGCGCTCAACCGCTGAGCCACCCAGGCGTCCCCCTCTTAGGTCCTTGATATCCCCTTTCCACAGGGGAGAGCAAACCTTAAGCAGGTACCAGTGTAAGTAAAATTGCATAGCTTTGCTTAATTTTCCTGCATTTTTTTTTTGCATGATGGTTTCAATTAGTGGCAAGTGGTAGAGATAGTGACATGAAGTTTCCATTTCAAAGCTTCACTTATTTTTTTTTCTTAAAGATTTATTTATTTATTTATGATAGACACAGGGAGAGAGAAAGAGAGGCAGAGACACAGGCAGAGGGGAAGCAGGCTCCATGCCGGGAGCCCGATGCGGGACTCGATCCCGGGACTCCAGGATCGCGCCCCAGGCCAAAGGCAGGCATCAAACCGCTGAGCCACCCAGGGATCCCCTCAAAGCTTCACTTATAAGTAAAAATTGGCGGATGTGTGTCTCTCATGAATAAATAAATAATATCTTTTTTTTTTTTAAAGTAAAATTTGGGAATAACTGGTGTGGGGCCGGGGAAGGGGTGCAGTGCAGGAACACGGGAGTTTGGGAGGCTTTAATCATTGCTGGTGCCCGAAGGAAGCGAAGTGCCTAAGCTGCCCCTTGACCTGTGTGCACCGTACAGGGTATTTCCACAGCAGCCCGGGCAAGGAGGTCAACCGTCTTTCTGTCCAGGGTTACACAAGCCAGAAATCTCAGTCTGCTGGGCCATCCTACTTCCTGTTGATGTGAACAGAGAAACCCCCTCCCTCCTCTGCAGAGGACGGCTAGGGGAGTACAGGGAGTGTGGGCATTGGAATCAGGCCTCCCCCTTTGTGTGCCTCAGTGTTTCATCTGAAAATGACAGTTGCGGTCAGGATTCGAAATGTCATCTGTGCAGCGCCTGGACACATGGGTTGTGCATGACCTCCCCACCCGCAAAGCTTCCCAAGTCCAAGGCCTCCCCTGCTGTGGCTGAGCCTGGGCCTGTAGGGATGGAGAACTGGGAACTAGGCAGGCAATTGCCCCATATGCTCATGTCCAGCTAGGGTCAGACAAGGTGATGTCTGGCCTTCTTATTTCAGCAACCCTGCTGTAAACATGTGTCCTTCTTGTGATCTGCTGATTGATTTCACATTTTTGTGCTCTCTGTTGGTGATATTAATATTCAAAATGGCCCCATGCCTAGTACTGAAGGGCTGTCTAGTGTTCCCAGGGGCAAGGAGGCTGTGTCATGCCTTACAGAAAAAATATCGGTATTAGATATGCATTATCCAGGCACAAGTTACTGTGCTAGTGGCTGTGAGTTCAATGTTAATGTCTTACCAAGATATATCGAGTAAGGTGGGCTTGTAAAATATTTTTAACTTTTAATTTTTTTTAAAGATTTTATTTATTTATTTATTCATGAGAGACACAGACAGAGAGAGAGGCAGAGACACAGGCAGAGGGAGAGGCAGGTTCCCTGTGGGGAGCCTGATGTGGGACTCGATCCCAGGATCCCAGGATCATGACCTGAGCCGAAGGCAGATGCTCAGCCACTGAGCCACCCAGCCATCCCTTTTTTATTTTTTAGAACATTTTATTTATTTATTTGAAAGAGAGAGAGAATGAGTGGTAGGGAGCGATAGAGAGAGAAAGAAGCAGACTCCCAACTGAGCAGGAAGCCCGCTGCAGGGCTCGATTCAAGGACCCTGAGATCTGTGACCTGAGCTTAAGTCAGCTTAACCAACTGAGCCACCCAGGCATCCCTCAAGCAAGGTGTTTTTAAACAGAAAATACACATAACTTGAGGTCATGTATTGATTAGTTGATGAAAGGGCTGTAACTGAAGGCACACAGGAACCTCACTCCGTATTTCCTGTAGGAATAATGATTCAGCAGTCACTCACCGAGCATAATAAACATAATTCTCAGCGGTGGAACCATGTGACTCACGAGGACCAACTGTAGGTCACCAGACTCCCAGGAAGGGGAGCGCGTAGGCTCCATGCATTCCAGTGTTGCCTGCTCTGGCTGCGTTTACTCACAGCACTCACCTCCTCCCTGCAATGCTGGCATCTTTCACCCAGTTACCAATCTGGGGACTGAGCCTGAGGGAGGCCTTGGCTTTTCCATCACCCAGGTGTCCTGATCCTTTCATCGTCCTCCACTCAATGCCTCTGGCTTGCTTCTGCCCTTCTGCCTCCATACTCATGTTTGACATTTCCTAACCACTGATGGGCTCAGGTAGCTACTCTGACCAGGCCCGTGTCAGCCTCGAGTCACCACTCAGCCCACCACCCCGGGCACGGTCTTCCAGCCCTGGCTATAATTCACTCCTTCCTCCTCTTCCTCTTCCTCCTCCTCTGTAATAAAATATACAGAACATAAAATATACCATTTTAACAACTTTAAAATGTACAATTCAATGGCACTAAATGCATTCCCAGTGTGTGCAGCCATCACCACCATCCATTTAGAACTTTTTCATCTCATAGAACAGAAACTCAGTTCCCATTAAACATCCCCTCTTCCATTTCCCCCACAGCTTGGCACCCACCATTCTGTTTTCTGTCTCTACGGATTTGACTACTAGTCTAGGGACCTCAGAGAAAATAGAACCACACAGTATTTGTCCATTTATGGCTGGTTTGCTTCACTGACCTCAATGTCCTCAAGGTTTGACCATGCTGGGGCAGGTACCAGAATCTCCTTCCTTTTTAAGGCTGAATGGTTTCCCGTTGTAGGTATTGATGGGGTACAGGACACACTACCCCAAGATATAGCATCTTGGCATATTGAATATTTTAAGCTGAAGGAATTTTTTTTTAAGATTTTTATTTACCTATTTAACAGAGAGTGAGCGAGCACACAAGTAGGGGGAGTGGCAGGCAGAGGGAGAGGGAGAAGCAGGCTCCCCGCTGAGCAGGAACCCGACTTGGGGCTCCATCTCAGCACCCCAGGATCATGACCCAAGCCAAAGGCAGATGCTTCACCGACTGAGCCACCCAGGTGCCCCTAAGCTGAAGGAATTTGAGAAATGACAGGTATACAGGAAGGGCTCTAACTGCCCCCTGAAGTGGGTCGTAGATCCTCATGTGAGAGGTGCCTTCCCTGTGGCCAGAGGAAGGAGCATGCTTCTCTCCGAAGATGCAGGGATAGAGAGGAATCGAACCAATGGACTTTGCTAAGTTTCCACTCATGTTCACTGCACTTAGCGCCTATCTTTTGTCCTCTCACATTTTCCCTTGACTTTCCACTCTTCGTTAAACTAAGCATTAAAACACTCAGGTTGAACCTTTCCTTTGGGTCTTCATTTCTTTACAATGGCTCCTGTGTCCCATAACATATATTAATCCATTTCTATGCTTCTCTCACTTAAAAGAATAAAAGATACTTCTTTTGCTTTCAATACATTCCATGTATGTTCATCCATTCACATGATTCACTTCTGCATCTCCAAATAAACACCTCTGCTGCTCCATCCTGGTCTTAGGACCCCACGCTGAGGACACAGGTCCTCAGGGGTGCTTTTCAGGTTTGTCCTGTGCCCAAAACAGGACCTAGGATGTCCTGTGTCAAGCATGCATTCCCTCCAATTGTCCTGGCTCCTGGGGAACAGAACTGCTCCCACGGCAGTGCTGGGAGAGCATGGAGTCAGCTTGGGAGGACTTGGGTAATGTTGAGGGTTGCCGAGCTGTGGGGAAGTTAGATGGGCACCCCCTGCCACACACCAGAGGCTGCGTTGCTAGTGACCAGCACCATCCACCTGCCAGAGAGGATAGCCTGACTCCTGCTCAGGCAGCAAGCCCCCCAGCCAGCCCTAATGGAGTTTGTTGACCGATCAAGTAAATGAATGAGTGAGTAAATGAAAGTTAAAGTACTACCCTTTCCCCTTTTACCTGGCTAAACATGGATGCTCTTCCAAATTTAACCACCTTCACAGACCTACACATTTTCTTAACTATTCTTTGGTAGCTTAGGTGTGGTCCTAGATGGGTTCCTCCAGAAGCTGACCCAGAGACCAGGATTCCAGTGCAAAGTGATCCCAGGACATACTGGAAGGGGTGATAGTGGCAGGGGAGGGGTCTTAGATGCAGGAGACTAGGGGGGCAAACAAGGCTCACTCCCGCTGGAGTCCTCGAACAGAAACAACATGCCATGGGGAGCAGGTGGGAGATTTTTAAAGGCAGAAGGGACCCAAGAAAGAAAATAATTAGTAAAGAATGCATTGTTTTAGGCAAGGTCACCCTTCTAAGGGGAGTGGAAGGTGTGGAATGGGCACCTCACTAGAGCTGACCGGGTAATACCAGCTTAACTGGTTCAAGGTTATATTCCTGGGAGAGGCTGAAACTGAAATTAGCTTAGGTATTAAGTCTTGGGTTGATGACCAGGGGTTAGCACAAGTGACTCCATTTTGAGCCTGTTATTTCTTCTTAATGCTGGGCTGGAGATGAAGCACTGTTGGCTGGGATGGCCAGGGAAGGTTTCCTGGAGCATTGGTGCCCTAACAACAGATGGATCAGAAGGAAGAGCCTTGTGACCAAGTGAGGGAGCCAGCCAGAGGGAGATGAGTGAACTGGGTAAATGAGGTTGGCAAGTTCAAG